AAAAAATGTTTCAAACTTTTAGAGGTTCAGTCCGTGTGTTTTTTTTCACAGATAGAGAAGAAATACATTCCATCCTCCCAGCCAATGGCAGGCATCTGAGACAACTTCACAGTGGGTGGTGGACATAAAGTGAGTCATTCGTGAAGAACATATGGATAAACAGAACAAGTTCATGTGGTTTCCATGACTACTTTTTCCCCATCCACAGAGGGGAACTACAATACGCCCAATGGTCCTGGGAGATGTTTGGTGATACTAGTGTCTGGGTTTTGGATCTAAGTTGCTATACATGACAGACGCTGAGATCAATTATCCCATTACAACTGAGAAAAGGATAGAAGTTCCTAGACTGTGGCATTTATGGTAGGAAATGATTGCAAGTTGGCCAAAAGCTAGGCATAGTGGTCTGAAGAAAACCATTGCAAAGCTACAGGGAAAATATAGAGACTGCTCTGAGAGTAGAATCACATCATTTTGGAGAATGCACTGTTCAGTTCAGAACTGATTTTACTAGACATAGAACTGAATGTATTCAATATAAGTAAAAGGACTAAGTCACAAACGCATAAGATCTGTATGTATCTAGAACTGTATCAGATCTGCAGGTGACCCATCTATATGCCCTAGCAGCCACCATTTGGGAGCACAATAACTCAATGGCTTACAGCTGCAAACACTTGGAATTCTTTGCTTGAGGGCTTTCTCTGGACCACAGAGCATACTTAGCCAGGTTGCAAGGCATACAAAGTACTTTGCAGTTATCACCTCTGTCCATTTACCCCCTAACAGCCCCTCATAGAAGACTAAGAGGAATTGATAGATAAATATCCCAATTTCCTTGGCCCTCAAATATAACAATTCTGAAGCGTGATCTACACTGTGTCCTAGAATTCCCAAGCAGTGCTACTATGGGTAGTAGCCTACTGTGTAATACGATCTTAATCGGCTTCTCTCTCTTCCCTAAGTCACTTCCCCATCTCACTTTCAGTACTTCCTGGAATCACCTCTCTGAAGAGCATTCTGATATTGAGAAAGCTTGTTGGATGATGGAAGGAAAAATCAATTATAGTGGCCTTCTGAAAATGATACAAAATAACAGAGTACTTACTGGAGGTTCTGGGATGGGCTAAGCAGACCAGAAATCACACAGTATTCTCAATCCTCTTGAAATCAGACTCCAAGGAATAGGGTATCAGTGGGAATTGAGACTCAAGGAAAGCAAAGGGTAAATGTTTTAAAGATCCCTTCTTCAAAAGTTTATCCGTCTCTGTCAGGGTCAAATACAGTCCAAAGAACTTTAATGTGATCAAACAAATTATACTTGTTATTTTGACATTTTTAGAAAAGAAGAAGAACAGAGGAAGCAAGTTTTGCCCTGATTTTAAAAGTAAAACTCAAGGGATGTGTCAAATTCTACAGTGATGAGCTTGAAATCCAAATGAGAATTATTTTTAAAAATAGATGCTCTGTGGCTAAGTTTTAGAAGAAGTGATAATGATTAATAAACAGAATTATGAATTAAATAAATACTAATTAAATACTAATTCCTTTTCTCAATAGATTCACTGACACATTAGGAGGAAATTATTCTGTATGCTGATTGCAAGGCAACTTAATTTCTCATGATCTTCTGGAAGAGAAGATGGATCTACCGAGTGAATCTCCATTCAAAGATGATTGGCAAGTTGATATGTACTATCCTAGCCAGTTGATACGTGTTGTGCTCATCAACCTTGGCAGTATTAGCATTTTGGACAGGATAAGTGTTTGTTTGGGGGAGACTTTCCCGTGCACTGTAAGTTACTTAGCAGCATCCCTGGTCTCTTCCTTAGTTCTCTACCCAGTAGATGCCAGTAGCATTCCCCACCCCAGTCATGACAGCTAATACTGTGTCCAGACTTCACCAAATGTGCCCTGGAGAGCAAAATCCTCACCCCACCCTAGTTAAGAAGCATTACTTAGAGGTAGGTCTCTTGAGGGATGTCTAATGTCTTTCCTAGTGAATGTATTTTCACTACAAAAAGTTTTTTGAAGTTCTGCATTAAAATTCAAACAATAAATTTCATAGATTTAAAGAAGACATGTCTTAGAAAAAAATCTGATGATTTTAGTTGATTGCAAAGTCAATATAATTCAAATAAGTACTGTAAGCGTTTTACAAAAAATAATGAAACGTTAAGTGTCATTATTAGAAAGAATAAAGTTCAAATCAAGGAAGGTGATAAACCCATTGTAATGTGGTCTTACAAGTACTGTGGTCATTTGTGCATCATATTTTGAGAAGAACATAAGCTCAAGAGAAGGTTATGAGAAGTTTAGCATCTGTATAATCTGAGTAATGACCAAGGGAGACAAAAGTGTTAAGACTGGAGAAGAGAAAACCCAGGCAAGGGTGATGATATTGGAAACGCTGTCATGTGCAAGATGGGCTATATTCTATTTTAGCACAAAGAGAATTAGAAGCAATAAGGGGAATCTATCAGAATCTAGAAATACGAAATCACAGCTATCCTACAATGAAATAAACTGCCTTGCGAAGGAGCAACCACTCCTTTAGCCATGGCTGGATAATGCTTAGATTGGGACATTGTAAAAATGTCACCTATATTAGGAGATCTCTTAACTTAAACCTTTCAAGCATTAATTTTAAACATATAATTTTACAATAATTCTACTCTCTTGGTAGCTGCCAAGCACACTTTCATGTTACACTGTTGAAGAGGTAAACTTTAACTTTTATCTTTTAATAAAGTATTGAACTCTAGCTTTGCAAAGCATTTAAGTGCATTATATTTTTTGATTCTCACAATCCTATAAGTTGTCTCATTAGCTCACTTTCACATGTGAATAAACTTAGTATGATTGAGTGATTGCCCATGTTCCTGCCGCTAGTAATTTTCAAACCTGGGATTCAAACCCAAAACACCTTGCTCTAAATTCTGTGCTTGTGACAGACCATTATTGAGTTATTTTATTTAACTGTAAAAGCTCATTGTTCTAAACAGTAAACATCTGAAATATCACAGACCAGAAGCATTCGATACGACTTCTTTTGTTTATTGCAATTCTTACTGAAGGATTGATTCTGTGGCTGCATATTCTATTTTTTTCAGAGTTATTTTGCACTGTTAAGCAAGGTGGCTCAGTGGCACCTTATAAACCTTCACTGTTTCTTTCATAGGGATGAGACCAGGTGAGACACCTAGGATGCTACCACTTGAATCTGTGTGTTCCTCATCTAGAATTGCTGTCACGTTCAGGCAGTATTCAATGACGAGAGTACTTACACAAGCACAAGATGTACGATCAGAGTTGGACTAGAACCACTCAGCCTCCTTGATAAAAGAAGAATTATCAAGAAGTGGTCAAAGTGTCTTCTTTGTCTAACCCTCATGGAGAGCTATATTATTCTTTTTATTTAAAGATAACTAGATGCTTTGAGATCGATTAGGTATTTTTTGTCGTCTATCTACCACTCTCAAATATTGATGACCTCCACAGGATGGATGCTTTTGGTGGCTAGGGTCTGGCTGCATATTGGATATGTACAACATATCTTCAAAATACTTAAGTGTTCCAATCGTTGGAGAAGTTTGTCTTCAAATGAATACCAAGTTCTTCAAAAGAGGGTATATATGAGATGAATAGTTTGATTTACATATCCTAAGTGCCCAATAAATATTTGAAGATTAAACGTAAAAATGAAACAAAATTAATTTCTATGAAAGTTATATAGATGTACAACTAGTTGTAGGAAAGGATACTGCATATGTACATTGCAATGTCTGTTTCACTGGCTCTCAACCTTTTGGGGAGTTTTGAAATCCTTTGAAGATTTGATGAACCTAATCAGACTCTCTTCCCAGGAAAATACCCCTCTACATATATCTGCCAAGTTTTATAAATACTTTTAGAGGTTAGTAACCTCTGAAGCCTAAGCATTTGGCTCTGGGAATCTATGTCCCACAGGTCAAGAATACTTGATCTGTTTACTAATAATACATTTCAGGCAGTCACCATCTTTGAAATGTGGTACATTTAAAAAGTAAGATAAATTATATATCCTTTAATTTACAAATTAAGAAGATGTGGATTGTTTCCCTGTTATGTTTAAAAGTCATAAGTTAATATTAAGAAAGAAATGACATGAGTCTAGAACAATGTAGGTACAAAATGGGTTAAGCATTCATGTTCAAGCCTTTTACTGTAGAAGAGAAAAAGACCAAACTCATGCTTTTCTATTGAAGATTACTTTCAAAAGCCAGAGTTTTAAAACAGTTACCAATTGTTGGACCAAAACTTACAGAAAGTAACTGATTTCTAAATCATCTGATCTCCAAAAAGTCACTTTGCTTTTGGCAAAAACAAACATAGTTATATGTGAAACAAACAAGTATATTCCTTTATACACTTGTTTTTGGTATTTTTATTTTTCAAATAGCCCCTGAGCAAACATTTTTGACATGTTTTCTGGAATTTATTATTATGAAAAATAATAGCATACAAGTAGCCACACTCTCTGTGCATTTAGCTGTGTTAGGCACAGTAGTTCTTATTATCCTTACTACCCTATGAGGTTAGTATCATTACCCTTAACTTACTAATGAGAAAAGTGAGTCAGAGAAATTACATAACTTATAGCTAGAAAGTGATAGTGTTGGGTTTTAATCATAGGTTTACTTGAATTGCATTGCTTTTTATAGAGAAAACCGTATTTATGAAATCAGCACCTTCATGTCGTTTTCAACAGGTTGTACGAGTTTGTGGTTTCATATATAACAAGATGAACAGATGTAAACAAAGGTACATTTAGTGGCTGTATCTTTAAGTGTGTGATGTAGAAGTGCTTAATAAATATTAAAATCCAGAAAAAACAGAGTCAATATTCTTCCCCAGCTCGTCCAAGGACGGCTTTTCCTTTCAAATGTAGTCTTCCTTACTGTGTCGCTTGGTGCCAAAATGGTGCCGCATGTACTCTTTTCAAATCAATAAATCCACAGTTGTATTAAGAAATATTTTATTAACAAAACAGTAAATTCCACTTGCTTAGCATTTCCAATAATGGATAAATTGGCCTTGCAACAGAAAACCAAATCAAAACAAAACCCTTAGATATCCAATCACACAAAGCACTAGAAGGGTAGGGTCATGTGGCCTTTCTTTGATGTCTTATGGATCGACCACCTCACACGTTATTGTAGTATTTGTTTTTTAAAAAAGGCAACACATTACATGGATAAAAAAGAAGCATACTCAATCAGGAAAGTTGCAGTCTAGAGATGTAATCAAATTTATGCCAGGTAGTGTGAAATCCTCTAACTGCAAACTGTGCATGGAACCCTGATATGTTTGGTATGAAGATACTTGAGATTTTATTCATGTCTTTTTCTCTCTCTAGCTCATGTTCCTCTCTTTTCTTTCTCCATTCAAAAAGAAAGAAAGAAGAAAAAAAGAAAAAAATTTCCAATTTTATGTAGGCCAATAACGTTAGAAACATTTATACTGACAATATTAGATTACATGATTGAATGAAATTCTAAAATTTATGCTGGAAAGAAACATTGAAACCAATCCCAAACAACATGCTTCATAGATATACTGCTTAAAAAATACCATTTTTCAATTTATTTTCTATCATATTTTAGAATCTTTCCAGATGGAAACTAGTTCAAGTTCAGTAGATCAAATGGAAAAGCAACCATTTCTTTTTAAAACCTCAAACGGTAAATTAGTGGTTTTATATTTACCTTATTTCACTGGCTTTCCCTGAGTAAGACTGAATGAGAGGAAAAGAAAAAGTCTTATGAATTCTTTAACCTGGCAAATTAAGAAAAGAAGAAAATCTGAAACACAAGTAATGGATATTAAATTTTAGTTTTATACCTCTACTTTCTGGGTCATGAAAAACCTTTAAGGCTTTTCATGCACCACAATTACTTGGCAACCATAGATAGTGGTGGTTTGCTATGAACTATACATATTTCTAGGGTGCTGTATGTCTGAAATCCAGGCCACTTCTTGGCTTTTTTCATCAACTAAAGTATCACAAAAGATGTTTTGCATTTTTTGCCTTTGCTGATTAAAGCTAATTGTAAAGGTATTCTTCTCTTCTGTGAAATCTAATATCATTCTTTTAGGAGATGTTAAAGTAATGCGACCAATTTTTTCTGAGGCATCACCTTCCAATCTAATAATGCATCTTCCTTTGCATTACCTTCTCATACTAATAATTTATTGCTATGAACATCATTGAAACAATATGCAAAAACAAGTGTGTAATGTATACTTTTCTACTTAATGTGTGTTAAGCTAAAACTATATTTAATGATAGAGATGTAAAACCAGAAAAGTTAAAATATAGTCAATAATCAACAAAGAATGACTTTTTTAGATGAATAGTAATACAGAATCAAAAATTACTGAAAATACTTCCTTAGTTGAGAAAGTGTTTACTTTCCAAAATGTTTATCATGCACATCAGGTTCAGAGAATATATCTATATAATTTTATTGGAAACAAAGTTTTCAACTGCAGCAGCCAGGGTTAAGATGTAGATCAACCAATTTTGCTTCCATAACCTGCCCACATAATGGTTCCTGTTCGTGCAGCAACATACCACTGATATTCTATATGATAAGAAAAGGTTCCATTTCATTAGCAACTAAAATCTTCTCGAGGTTTCCTGGGAGCGTGATCTCAATGAAGCAAATCACCCCATTTGTCATCAATGCCTTGGCACAACTATCTTCCTTCCTGCTTCTCAATTTGTCAATAATCTTTCCTATATTTATGTTTGGTTCTTCTGTCATCTCTGATGGATTCCTCTGGATTTGTGTGTGTGTGAGAGAGTGCGTGTCTGTGTTTTTGTGACTGTGCATGGTGAATGTATGCGGGAAATGTGAGTAATTTGGGGGAGAAAAGAAGATTATAAGATACATATGTATATATTTTACCTTCTAATTCACACCTTTCATACAAATACTAAAACTTAATTGCAACAGAATGAAGGCTGTACATGTAAGAAAAAAAGTAGTTGAGTGTTTTTATATACATTCATACATATCTTCCTTAGAATAAACACTACATTGTAATTTTTTTTTTTTAAAAAAAGTAAGTAATTGTGGCAATTTATACTGGTGGCAAAAAAAAACAAACAAACCAAAAACCCTGAAATAATTGTTGCTCCGATGTCATAAAACTCCCTATACTTAGCAACACTTATAACATTGAATTTACCAAAAATGGCTGAAGAGCAGAGATATATTTTGCATTTTCTATACAACAGGCTATAAAACGTCACTTATCACAGTCCAGAAAGCACACAGAGATGGATTTTATATAAACATATGTAATAACATATTAAGCGTGCATGAAAATTTCCCAATGATTGCATCTATGCCCTCTTGTTTTCGTTTTGAAATTTTAGTGTGAAAATGTGCCTTATATTTCACATTGTTGAAAATAAGGCCTCCATACTTTTTTTTCCCTCACAACCAGAAAGGGGCTTTTTGAATGTGTTCCTACACAAGTCTTCAAAAAAGCCAGCACTTTGTTTCAAATGCAAGTTCCAACCATTGCTCCAGTTGCGCCAGGTGGCAAACTCCTAAAGGTTTGCAGGTTGAGTCACTCAAAATGACACAGTCTTCTCTGGCAATCAGACTAACTGACTTCTCAGGAAAGCGCTAGCACTTTGGCTAAATCCAGGATCATAGGTAGCTTCTTTTTTTGTGTTGTGTTTTGTGTTGTTTTTGTGTTGTGCCTTGATGTTGTAATACTCCTTTGCTTTATGAATGCGTGCAGTCATCACTGTCTTTCACAAATGTTCCAGCAACATAAAGACAGGCAGAGTAAATGAAAACACTGCGCATGTTAGGGAATTTATTGGCCCCTGTCCTTTTTTTTTTTCTTTTTTGGAGAAACAAGAGCATGAGATACTTGTTTTTATTTTTTAAAAACAGTCTTTCCTTCCTGATTGCATTCCCTGTCTTCTTTTGTATGTGCTTCATAAAAAGGAAAGTAAATAAGTTTATATTATGTCTCAGATAAAATGAAGACTATTTCTATACAAGGGTCCTTTTAAGATCGTGGGATCAGACGTAATACTCTTTATCCTTGTTTTTCTTATTTTTGTTGGCGCTTTTCGCACTGCTGGGTTGTTTCTCCTTTACAACAGCCCCATTGGACTGTGCTGAGTTACTGATGTAGTTTCGACTCTCGTCCACATGGTAGGAGCCTTCATCCCGGTTTCTGTACTTGTACATGGCGTAGAGGAGGATGAGGATGCACAGCGCGGCAGCGGCTACTATCCCCACAACCATGCCCGTGGTGCTGCTAGACTCTCGAATCACTTCCGCCGAACCTGGGTACGGCTCTCTCCCGCCTGCCCTGGTCGGGTTGGCTATAGGAGAGAAGGTGAGAAAAGAACACGAGGTGATGATTGAGTTTACTGAATGCCAGAGAGCTATATTAACGTTTATCATCTATTTCCATGCCTAACAGATTAACACCTCCTGCTCTAGGAAAAGTATACTGCTGCTCAATGTGGCAATCCCGTGCCTCATGGTCACTAAAAACAAGGGACTACGAATCAAAGCACTCGGAGAAATCTGTCGCCTTCTTTTCTTTCTCACAGGTCAATTTTGTCAACAGCGTCTTCTAAGTGCAGCCCCAAATAAGCTCCATTTAGCTCTAAAGGGCCATGTGGATGCGTTAGATGAAAAACCATGCACCCAACATGGAAAATAAAATCATAATGACCCTACATTATAATATTACAGAGTATCATTTAAAGAATCACATTGATGTTGATACAGAACACTTAGGGCTAACTCCAGACTCTGAATCAGGATAGCTAAATTTAGAATTACTTTAGAAATCATAACTCCTCCTATTGTAATGAATATAGTATTGAACAATACAATAATCCAGGCATTTTGAATAGTCTAATTGCCTGCTTTAAAAAGTGTTATTTTAGGGGCTGGCCCCCTGGCCGAGTGGTTAAGTTTGCTCGCTCTGCTTAGGCGGCATCCCACATGCCACAACTAGAAGGACCTACAACTAGAATATACAGCTATGTACTGGGGGGCTTTGGGGAGAAGAAGAAAAAAAAAGTGTTACTTCAGTCATACCTTTACAAACTGAAACAGAAACTAATTTCCTTTTCTGTTGAAGGTTTATTTGTTTATATAAGTGTATATGCATGTTATTTATTCATTGGCAGTGTTTGAGTGATCACCAAAACTAAATTTCGGTGGATAAAGTAAGAAAGTATTTTTTCTTAGTTTTAAAGACCATCTAGATTGGTTTTGAGTCAAAACTCAGTACCTAGTAGATGATAACAAAGAAAGGACTGGCTGGTCCACTTTTATTCAACTGACAAAACCCTCACTCAGTCTTCCCAAAGTATAAATAAAGCCCTTCCTTGGGTACAAGAAATACACAATAAGGTACATTAATGTCTGGTCCAAGGACTAGTCAGTCACAAAATTGACTAAAGACGGAGAGAAAAAGTCCTGGGATTTAGCTTGTAGATGGGGGAGGAGGAGGGGTGGCTCCTTTCCTCTACATAGTAAACTTTTAAAAAACTATTATTTAAAAGAATAAGAATTGCAGAGAGATAAGATTGTATCCCATCTCTAATCCTAGGTCATTTTTCTCTATGGATGGTATTTTCTTTTTCTGAATCTCCATCCTCTCCCTTGTTTCACAGAAAAAGATTACTTTTCAGATGCAATGGATTAAAAATGCTGTAATTTTCAAAACATTTTTTGTAAATTATGCAGAAAATTTAAATAGTCTCAAGATTGTATATATATATTGGAGATATACGTGCGTGCGTATGTATGTGAGTGTGTGTGTGTATACTAACATCAGGAATTGAACAGCTCAAGAAGAGTAAAATTGTGTTCTTATTTTACTACCTTAAACATCATTTAATGATTACTTGTAATATTTCTATAGAAGCACTTATTAATTATTGAGAATTATTTACCAACCATGTGGTTCTATATTTCTTTGTAATTCCATTTTCAAACGTCACCCAGATGTCTTCTGCCTAAATATGAGTTTCATGCTGTCACTTTCCTTTCCTTCCCAAAATAAAGCCTTACAAATATAGTCACTTACAAAGTAACAGCTCAGGCTCAAAGCAGCAATATGCTATGTTCTGGAGCTACAAAATGCAGCAGGTGAATATTTTGAATACGTCATTGCTTGTTTTACAAAAGCCCATGTAATGTTGCTGAATAAAAAGCCTGGGAGTTGTTTCTGTGGCCAAGGTAGAAGGAGACCAAGACTGTAATCCACAGCATTTGATTACAGGAAATTAATGTCCTCTCCGGAAGAAGAGAACCTGCTCCAGGAACTCTGTCACTACCCGACAAACCAAAGGTGGCACTTTCTCTTTCAAATATAGTCATCTTTGCCAAAGTCTGCCAATTAGCTCAGCTGCTAACTTGCACTAAATGACAACTCTCTACTTGCTCATTTTGTGGAGCATTCTTTTACCATGATGTCTCAAAAGCTGAAAAAGGGATTTTATTTAAATGTTACTTAAATCATTTTCCACCACCTGATGGAATGCTTTCATTTTAAACACGCTTTCATAATTATCTCACTTTGTCTGTCTGTCGGAAAAGAATGGGGAGAATGGAGATAAAATCCTAATCAGATAGTTTATGACAGTAAGACCTGAGAGTTTTAATGGTATATAGTAGGGTTTAAATGTTATATACTAAGAATATATATGTACATTTTTTCCAATTAGGAGTTGGTATCATAAATGGACTATCTTATCCAAAATTTTTAATTTTATTTTTATTTACTCAAATATTTCTATGTTTTCACAACAGCTGTATATGTAGCACACCAACAACAAATTGACTTTAATACTAGAATGAGATTGCAAGCCTAACCTTGAAATGCTTCAATTTTTTCCATATACATATTTCATAAATCCCTCCTGTTTAAGGAAAATACTTGTCTTTTTTGCAACTCCAGCCAAAATGTTGCTTAAGTCACATGCAGGCCTAAAAATATCTCTAACCCATAAGTAAAGACTCTAAATATCCCGTTTCTTTTTTTTTAAAGCTTACCAAAAGAAACCCCAAACCCAATGAAGAAATATTTTATCCTTTTTTCCCTAATTAACATTAAAAGATTAATAACCACCACAGGTATTATTATAGATCTGTCTGGAATATACAGTTGCTTCCATAGCTAATTGATTATTTAGCATTTTTTTCTGTTTATGCTGCAAATCTGAAGGCTAAGTGATATTTTTCTTAACTTTTGTGCTAAGCAGAATTTATATGCTAAAGAGTTAGTGGAACATCTCTCCCATATGTGCAATAAAAGGCTAGAGAAATTTAAACATATTTATGAATTATAAATGTGGCTTCACTTATTGATTGTCATTAATGGTTTATTTTGATGATCACTGAAAAATCTCTGAGGAAATTTCATATTAACTTCAATGTAGAGAATAGTATAAACGGCTAATAAGGCTAAATGTCTTCTTATATAATTTGCTTAAAATTTTATAGAAAAAAGAAATGCAGTCATCTTGTAACCATTTAGGAGAATATGAAAAAAAGAATTTAATCAGAGAAATCCAAAAGCAATTCTTATTGATGGATTTGAGAATTTTACATTCCCTTTACACTCCACAGTAAACTAAATCAAGACATTTTAAATAATTAAAACAATCTACAACATGTTTTTTCTCAGCAGTGCTAAAAATGAAATAAATGAAGTAAAATTTACTTTTACTCCTTCTCCCTTTTTTGGTCCCAGAATGTGATGAGAAGACTTAAAAGACAGGTGAAAGAGAATCAATGAGAAGAGCTAAAAGAATGGAATACATCTAATTAGGGATAAGTCCTTGAATGGTCAAAAATTAACTGATTTGTAGGTAAAACAAAGCTAATGCAGCCAATTCATGATATTGGGCCCTGGGGCACAAGGAGTGCAGGTCAATGGAAAACTTCAGTGGGACTGATGATGGCCATTGAATAAGCCACAGCATTTAAGTATTATTCAGCGTGACCGGAAATAGGCAAGTATTCAACTTTGGTGGGGTGGTGGCACACATTTTAATTTAAGGCTAAGTCACTAGCAAGAAAAAAAAAGAATAGATGAAATCTCCTAAGCTTATTTATATCCCGTTTCAATGATTTATAAAGTAAAAAGTTGTCATGAATTATACACAATTTATGTGAACACTATAACAACGAATTATTGTACTTATCAAAGTTTTCCCATGTAATTCTACATCCATTTTACTGAAGGATGCCCATCATCACACACTCCTCAGAGTCAACTAGAATGGAGTGGAATCTGCTAGGTGTCCTACACGTGGGGAGAGCAAATATGCACACCTTGATGTCAATAGGAAGCCTTTTGAGTTTTGCTGGCATTTTTCGCCTAAATGGTTCAGAAGCTATTGATTGCATTGCCAAGGACAAAGAGCTGTCACAAGGATTACAACCTCTTTTATATAAGCCACTTCTCAGCCAAATGGCTATGGAAGTATTCCTGAGACCCGTGTACTGATAAATAGTGTTATCTTAAAGGACAGATAAGAGTTGATTTTTAATTCTCTCTTCCTCTCCCTCTATTTTCAAATATTTGCAAGATCTGATGATTTCTAGAAGTTCTCCATATGGTCTGCTTGGCCTCAGATTTATCAAGAATCTTGTATGCTAGCTCTATGAATTTTGTTTTTCATTGTCTAATTAATATTATGATTACTTAGGTAGGTACAGTCTTTCAAGTGTTAGGACACTTACTAAGATATTTCCACATTATACCCTAAACCAATTTATTCATATCAGATAATAATTCATTGTGGAAAATGCACAGTAAGTGCAAAAAATATATTCCAATGCCTTGTCACATAAAAGAAATAATGAATGCATTTGTTGCTCTGAATGAAAAATTAAAAAGTGAAATATTTAAAATTTTAACCTATTCTTAAACCTGCTAAGATAGTTATTCTAAACTACTATGACAGGAAAATAAATTGTCCTGATGTATGCCCTTTCTTTATTTTTGACAGTCTTGGCACTGTATCTATGAAAGAACATTTCCCCAAATAGGAATTAATTTAGATCCAGTGAAGAAACACCCTAAGACAAACATGTTTAAGAGACACATTAGGCTGTAGTACAGAGAGGAGAGGGCTGTTTGTGGTATGTCTCCTTTGTCATCAGTCCCTCCGGCCCTCTGTCACCTCCCCATGTTCCTCTCTATTCTTCCTCCTACTCCTCTCTCCTCTCTCCTTCTTCTGTGTGTTCCTCTCCCAGATCATGACTTATCCTTGAAGGTGGCCCTCAGGTAGCTTAGCAGGTGTGTCCCTCTCCCCTCTCAGGTAAATGAAGAAGGCCAAGCCAGCAGGGG